CCAACAGCAAGTCAAAGAAATGCAGGAGGAGGCATCAGTGAGTACCCTAAGATGTAAGCATGGGAAAGAAATTAAAAAGTGTAGCTATTGCGGATTTTCTCACAAAAAAAGGCAAGTGCTTGGCTTATGATGACAAAGTTTGCAGCAAATGTGGAAGAGAAAATCATTTTGCCAGAGTCTGCATGAAGAAAGACAAGGCAAAAATTGAAGAGAAATTAAGGAATGAGAAATACAAAAATAGGCGAGTTCACACAGTGAAAAAAGCGGAAAGTGGAGAGAGCTCTAGTGGAAGCAGTGAGTCTGAAGAAGAGTTTTTTGTGAGCTCTGTGGTTAAACATGTTGATAGAGTCCAAGAGAATGATGAGGTAATGTGGACCAAAGAGGTCAATGTTGCAGGTACGAAAGTAAATTTCAAATTAGATTCCTGAGCAGAGGTGAGTGTTATTCCACTCAATACAGAAGATTGACCTTGATACAGAAGTTAAAAAGTCAAATATGACACTCATGTTTTACGGTGATCCAAATTTCCAAATTAGACCCTGTGGTGAAGTGTCATTACCTTGTCAAATTGCTAAAAAACCTGCATGCATACCATTTGTTATTGTAGACAGCAAAAATCAGATGCCTTCACTAGGGTTAAAAGGGTGCTTAGATTTACATCTTTTGCGTAGAGTTGACAGCTGTATTGTTAGGTTTCAAAATTCAAATGATTTGGAAAAGTTATATCCCCAAGTTTTTTCGGGATTAGGTCTTAAAATTCGTCTAGAAAAAGATGCTGTTCCTCAAATTCAAATGGTCAGACGCATACCTCAAGCACTTATAACGGTAGAGTTGAAAATAAATTGGATGATCTTGAACGTCAAGGCATCATTAGAAAAGTTGAAAAGCCAACGGAATGGCTTAATCCTTTGGTAATCGTTGAAAAAAAAAAAAAATGGTGACTTGAGGTTATGTCTTTGTCCGAAAAAATTAAATGATAATATCCAACGAGAGCATTTTTTGATTCCAACTGCACACATAATTGCCAGCAAACTGTACAATAAAGCATTTTTCACAGTTTTAGATATCAAAGACGGCTACTTCCAAGTTAAAGTTGATGACCAGTCAGCTTGCACATTCGGCATACCATTTGGTCGTTATCAATTTTGTAGGCCTACATTTGGAATTAGTTCTGCTCCTGAGGTTTTCCAGAAAAAAAATTTTGAACTATTTGGAGATCTGAAGGGGGTGGAAATATATATTTTGATGACACTCCCCTGCCCAACTCCTTATAAGTCGGATGTGTAAAACAAAATTACCTGTGTCATAACAGACTTGCTAAGCCCAACTTTGTGTGTTGGAGTTAAAGAAAAACTAAAAAATAGGCAGGAAAGAAATGAGTTCTATTATAACAAAACGGCCACTAATTTAAAACCTTTACAGCCTAATCAGAATGTGACAATTTACAATCATATCAGTGAAAATTGGGAAACTGGCAAGGTCCTATAATGTTCTAGATTCTCATGGAGAATCAGTTGTTAGGAATATGTATGATTTAAAAGAATCTATGAATGAATACCAGCTAATTATTTACAGAGAGTATGATTTTGGAAGCCCTTGTGTCTCAAGTTGTATCACCTAAAGTATCTCTCAAAAGTTATAAAAAAGAAATGTCGCCGGTTAAGTCAAATCATATTGAGCTTCCTCCTGTCAACCTGAAAACTTTGTAATTGAAACTAGATCTGGTTGGGAGTCAAAGAAACCTATAAGATTTTTCGATAAGTATTGATTTGTATTCCTATTTTCAAAAAAAGGGGAGATGTGTTATACATAGTATTTAGCATTATATTTGGGTAAACCCAACTTAATTTAGATTTATAGTTAGTTACTGGCGTCATGATTATTAGCACAGATTCATCGTAGAATGTTGTATGTCGATTGATTGGGAAGCAATATAAAAGCCTTTGTTAAAACTACCATCGTGTTTACTTTGGACATAAATAATACAAGGAGCAAAAGGCTGGCTAGGAAAATCTTCACAATAATAAGAATAAAATGGGCGATTGATAGCTTCAGACCCAACAAATCTCCGGGCAAAGACGGGATCTTTCCCACATAACTGCAAAAGGATACGAGTACTTAAAGGTGCACGTACAAAAGCTTTTTAAGAAAAGCCTACTCCCAGGGCACATAACATACCGCTATCTTGGAGGGAAGCTAATGTGATATTCACACCAAAAACAGGTCGTCGACCAAAATCATATCGTCCCATCAGCCTAACCTCCTTTCTCCTTAAGACAATGGAGAAAGCAATAGACCAGTACATCAGAAGCGAAACTCTATTGAGAAAACAGCTCTACTCAAAGCAGTTTACTTATCAGCTAGGCAAATCCACAACACTGCCTGGTTAAAGACATTGAAGAGGCAATCGACTCACCATTACGTTACGGTGAAATAAACGGAGCATCAGCTACCGCTACCACGGTCGCAGAGGGTGTCCTCAAGAGGGTGTTCTTTATCCACTACTATGGACACTGGCTCCAAATTATCCGCTGACCAATAGAATTATAGACTTGGCCCCGTGATTAAAATAACTCCGGCCCTTCGGGCTCGCCTAGAACTCCGGCTTTTCGGGCTTGCGTATAAGGGAGGATTTTCATGCATCCGTTTTTCCGACGAAATATGTCCGTTTAACATTCTATTCTGACATAATCGTATATAAATATGTCAAAATAGAAGACTTTTCGGACATATTTCGACGGAAAAACGGATGCATGAAAATCCTCCCTAATTCCGGCCCTTCGGGCTCGCATATAATTAACAGTTTTCCCGATCGAAACCGGTCTGGAAAAGTGGAAAATTCGAGGAGAAACTGGATAAAAACACTCGAAAATGGCCGACTGTCTAAAATGTCAAATGACATTACAAGACCTACTTGATCAAAAGCGACGTTGCCATAATTACAATCTCAAACATAATGTTTTTCCAGATTTTAGTGAGTAAAACAAAGAAGAAGATAAGGTAGGATACATTAGTAAAAAACCAAAAGCGATTATAAATGAGTAAGACAAAGAGCGAGATAAAGTAAGAAACAATTTAAATGATCAGTTGGTCGAGCCAAACTATCATCAGAGTAAATTTTCGATTGTTCCCGGTTCAAACACTTGGAATGATTACTCAATTTTTTTTTGACAACTGACAAACCTACATACAATATTATGACTTTTGACGAGTTAATTTTCAAGACTACTTACGATTGTTATGACTTTTTTTGTCAATTGATAGCCTTGTGATTCAGATTGAGGCCTACAACAGCAACGTTGCCACATTTTAACAGTAATTTTGGAGCATTTGTAATTGTAAATGTAAAACGTTGACTAGTGGCAATTGACATCAAGAAACGATTGTTATGATGTTGTAGGCTGATTGAAATTTTTAACTTTTGGCAACACTGTAACACTAAAGGATTGAAATGGCGTCTTTTTCTAAATCATGAGCCCGAAGGGCGAAAGTGTTTTCAATCTTGAGCCCACAGGACAACAAAGAAACGCCATTTTGTATCGAGTTTTAAAGAAAACAAAGCCTACTTTAAAACATCAATTTTTTAATGTTTGTTGTATCATAAGCAGTATTGCCATATGTTTTTTTTTTTCAAATCTCCAGCCTGAATGGCCGGTGTTGTTTTAATTACGTTACGAGCCCGAAGGGCCGAGATTATACGAGCCCCAAGGGCCGGAGTTATATGAGTCCGTTCATTGTCAGCTGATTTTAATACCTATTATGAATATTACAGGTCTGTGATGCCCTTAGATGTTCTGGGCCGCACGCGCGCTACATTGAAGGAATTAGCATGTCCTCCTTGGCCGAGTGGCTCGGGTAACCTGCTCTGGTCCAATTTTTCTTTAATTTTGGTACAAAAAATTTTTGCTCTCTGGCAAAATAAAAAATTACCACAAGCAGACAATGCATCTCTGTGGTACACAGATGGATCCAAGCTAATGGAAGGAGCTGGACTGGGCATTTTCGGCCCTAACTTCAAGCTCTCCAAGGCATTGGGTAAAAATCTTACAATATTTCAAGCCGAACTGCTTGCCATATGTGCACAAAAGTGTCTCAACCAAAGCCTCAAAAGAAGACACATCTTCATACTATAGGACAGCCAAACTGCCTTAAAAACCTTAAGGGCTTTGTGCATTGCTAGGAGTGTAAACATACCCTAAAAACACTAGCGACACACAACCAAGTAAGGACCGGGACACATCTATCATGCATTCTTCCGATCCGACTCCGATCATACAATCAAGGTTCTTATTCTTGGAACAGGGGAGCAGCGTTCCCAAGAGAAGCCTGGGAATGCTGCTCCCTATTCCAGGAATAAGGACCCTGATTGTATGATCGGAGTCGGATCGGAAGAATGCATGATATATGTGTCCCGGGCTTAACGCTGGGCCGAGTTCAGAAATAACGCACAGGGTGCGAGTGCGATTTTATGGGTGTGCCTGAATTGACAATTCACCATTGGGCCCATTGCACCGTCTAAGGGCGTCGCACCAGTGTCACACTCACACTGGGTGTGTCATTCCTGAACTCGCCCCTGATGTGGCTGCCTGGTCATCGAGGCATAGAAGGAAACGAAGAAGCAGATGGCCTAGTTAGTGGATAGTTATTTTATGTACAGCAGTACAAGATTGTTTATGGTATAGGAAATTGTTAATTGATGTGAAATTAGATTTTAAAACTTCCAACATTTTTGAGGATAATCAGCGTTGTATCGCTTTAATCAAAAATCCAGAAAATAACAACACATTGATCTAAAGTATAATTTTGTTTGTGAAGTTTTAAATTCTAAGATAATGGCATTGGAGTATATTGGTACAAAACTTCAATTGACAAAGGGGCCTTTACAAAACTCAGTTTTACCTAAATTGCAATTAAATAGGTTTACAAATCAGAGAGGGATAAAATTGCGGAGCTCAAAAAACCTATGCACTAATAAATAAAGATAAAATTACAATACATACCTTTATTTTTAAGATTCTCTGGTGCGTTTTCCGAATGCGCAGCCCCATTATCATCGATATTAGTACTAGGAGTACTAACTAGAGCTTCTAAATACTTGGATTGTAAAGCTTCATAGTTGATTGGCTGATAGCTATATTTTTGGTATGGGGTGGTCACAGTGGTTGTGGGGATTTTCAGGCTGGAAAGGTATCCAGCTGCGGCTGGATATTGGGAAACTGTTGACGAAGATTTTCCAGTTTCGTAGTTAGCCGATTTTGTTCCGTAGTAGGCCAAAGGATTGATTTTGGGTTCGTTTACTTGTTCGTTGGTTTTAGTTATGACGTCTAGGTCGTCGTAGGTGTCGTACGATGGAGTTACAGGTTTAACCTGAAAATAATTATTTTTATATTATTTATTCACAATCCGATGTCCAAGGGTAAAGGTAAAAGTTATCACCTTTCAGTGCTAGTTGAAAGGGGAAAGGTGATACATTTACCTGTACCTTTGGACTACAGATTCCGAATAGGTTATAGTTATTTGACACGAGAGAAGAAACCTATTTAAGACAATTTCTCTTGTATCCTCATATTATTGAAAAAGCCCAACAAAACCCATTTAGATCATTTTCAGGTTTTATATACAAATTTCAACCAAAAATATCAAATCAACCAAACTTATACCTTCTTATGTTTCTTATTCAACGGTGGAGGAATAGTTTCAACATCATCCTTACTCTGAGCCCTTTCTTCGGCGTCATAATTCTCAGGAGCAGGAACTTGATGACTGACATAATGCGGTCCCGGTTTAACACTTTCCTGATTCTTTTGACTTTCTTCAAAATAATCCTTGGGTTCCACAGCTGCTGTTTGCCTAAAAGCATCAAACGGAGTCAATTTCTTCGGTTGAGGTAAAAATGCTTGGGGAGCATTTGAAGCTTTGGCTTCGGCACCGAAATGAGTCAACGGGGTGTTGAAAAATGATTCGAATTCAGCTGGTGGGATGAAACCGAATGATTCCTGGGGTTTTTCTTGTTTATTGGCTACTACCCCTGAAGCTGCACCAACTTGATTGAAGTATTTGGTATAATCTGCTGCTGGACGTTCGTCTCCGTATGAATATTCATCTGAATAATCATATTCAGCAGCTAGTGCCACCACTAGCACCTATAACAAACAATTTTATATTTAATTTTTAAAAAATTAACAATTACAAACCTCTAAAAGTATAATGCTTCTTTGTAGAAGCATTTTTAAGTTTGCGATAATAAGATAAAATTGCACTAGATGAATTTGTTTTATATCAAATCCCACTACCCGCTTTTTATTGAATGGCGTAATCATCAGGAAAGTTGTTAGATATTTCTTAAATCTGCAACCAAGCGAGATTTTGGCTTATTGAAATTGATTCGGGCGTGAAGAAGCATATTTTTTGCCAGCGTTATAGTCTATGGGACATTGTACCATTGCGGTATTTTTTTAAAATTAACTTCTGGTCTATTTATTTGTTTTATTGCCGTGGTTAATCGGCGTTTAACCTGCATCTATTAGATAATAGTTGATTATGAGACGTTATAATGAATGGGGCTTCTATTCTACATAGAAAAATAACTTCCTGGCAATTTTAGATGACTGGATTATGAGCTAAATCTTCGTTAGCCAAAAAAATGATTGCTGATAAAATTTTCAGTCGTTTATTCCCAGTTCTAGATGTACAGCAAGATTCCGAACGCGCTTCAAAGCGGAAAATTCCAAGGGACTTAGATCAGGTAATCTAAGAAAATAATTGAAGATCGGAACATGGAATGTAAGAATTCTATTCGAAGCTAGGAAACTGGCAAACCTCACACTAGACATAAGTAGACTCAAACTGTATAGTCGTGTCGCTGAAACATGGTGGCCTGATATGGGAAGGTGCAATGTGGATAACGGAGTATTTTTCTACTCTGGTAATGACGATCCAAAACATAAAAAAGGTGTGGGAATTGTTGTAACAAAAGAACTACTGAAATCTGTCGTGGACTTTGTTTCATACTCAGACCGCACTGCTTTATTGAAACTCAGAGCCAAGCCAAGTGATCTTAATATAATACAGGTATACGCACCAACTGCGGACTGGTCGGACCATGATGTGGAAAAATTTTATGATAAAGTTGAGGAATCATCAAGGAATTCCTAAAATTGACTAAAAAACATAATTATGGGTGACTTTATAATACCAAAATAGGTAAGGGTAAATTTGAGGAGTTAGTTGGATCATATGGTCTTGGAGAAAGGAACGAGAGGGGTGATCGACTCTTACATTCTGCCAGGAGGAAAGCATGAAAGTGACAAATACATGGTATCAACTTCACTTTCGCCGACTCTATACCCCAGCAAACCTTCCACACAATGTCGTGCTAAACCAAAAAAGATTTCATCCTGATCAACCAAAGATTTAGCTCAACCATTAAGAAAGCCGTCACATATCCTAGGGCAGATATGCTTTCTGACCATGTACTGTTGGTGGCCGTCTTGAAAATCTCTCTGTCCAGTCAAAGAAAGGTTATGGTTACCGAGATATTTCCAAAAAAAGATTTTGATTAAATAAAAAATCAAAAGGGGGCAGGTGAGAAGGTTAAGGATCAAAACTTTTCATTTTATTATCTTTATTTCTTCAAATTCCAATCGAAAAAGGAGGTTTTTTTTTCGTTTCTTAGGCCTGTCCGACTTATTGTTTCCATGTAGCACTGAAACCTGAGAAGGCTTAGCCTGTTTATTTTCTAGCTCTATTGCAACCACTCTAGTATTTTGGTAACCTGTACAAGGTTGTCGAAAGGTCCTTTATACTAGGGTGGTCTTTCATTATTGTTTCCGGGTCTACGTACGTTTGGTTGCCCGAAAATGCTATGTTTTCTGCGGTGCCAGTTTACAAGGATGTGTCGGGTTGTCTCGGGTTCTTTATTGCACTGTCACAGATTACCTACATACAGATGCGAAAGACCTGCGAATTCGTGGTTCAAAATTAATTTGATAGACATAGGCTGGCCGCACCAATGCCGCATCAATGTATTTTGAACATATTTATTATATAAATGGTTCACAAACAGCAAAAAAATATTCTTTTTTACCCGCAAAAATATGTAAACACACAGGCTGGAACATGCTCACGCACCCGGCCACCTTAATTGTCCTGACGCGGGCGATCTGTATCTATGCGTCAGGGCGCTGGCTCCCCGGCTTCGTCACAGAATATCGTCGACGGCTACGTACTTACGCATCTGTATTAGGTGATCTGTGGCACAGTCTGCAGTTAAGCTACTGTCTGCATTGAAGTTCATCCTGTTAAGGTGGACCTTTACCAGTACCTATGTGTGGCCTGTCATAAGACCTGTTCGTTATAGTCAGTTGACTCCTACTCATTTATAGCAGTTCTGCGACCCTTTTTCTACATGGTTGGTTTTCTTACCATAATTCTGGCTGAAAGTTGTCTAGTAGTGTCGATGTTCTTTACGAACCCCCGTTTTTGATGTAGCTTCTGCTCATACTTTTTGGTAGGTATCCTTAAAGCCGGCTCTGGCCGGATGAGTTTTGTCTGTGATGTGATCTTCTCTTTGCGAGTTCGTCACCTTTTGCAATGCCTTTGATGTCCTGGCACCCAAATAAGTTTTACCTTATTTTGGTCTAACAGGGCCCTGAGTTCTTCCTGGCGTTGCTATACTAGTATTTATGACACTATCTGGCTCGAAAGGGTCTTCAGTGCCGCTTGACTCTCGGACATTATAAGGATTTGCCTGTTGACTACGGCTCTCCTGTTATTTTCTGCTGCGCACTGGAGTATAGCATAGACTTCTGCCCTAAAACGGAGGCAGTACTTAGTGGTCCGTTATGCCCCGCCCCTGTTTCCCTTTATAGTCCAAGAGCCCAGGTATACATACATTCATAGTACCTATAAGTGCTACCAGCGTTGCCAGATGGAATGAAAAAATTTCGTGAGAATCGAGAAAGAAAAATCGTGAGGCTAAAAATTGCTTAATGGTAAAAGAAAATGAAGCACAATAATATTTTTTTATAGATTTTTGATAAAGTAAACATGATTTTAAATTCATAAGAAATAAACATTTTATTATTAAATCTCTTGTATCCATGTATTTTCCGTTTTTTAGCAGGTATTTCTGGAAGCTGAGCCTCGTTTTCACGTTCCCTATCCGCAGGATTTCTCATAAGGCGTACGTTCGCTAATTCTCGGATCGGCGGTAGGTCTGCGAGTGACGCCACCACTATCAGCTGCTGATAGTGGTGACGTCACCCGCAGACCTCGATGAATTGCTTGCGATTCAGACTGTGCTTGTGCATAATTTTTTCTTCGATTTTAAATTTAGAAAAGGTGATTTTAACGTTTAGGAATTCGTTTTTTTGACCTATACTGTTTTTAAACTCGGATAATGCATTTTACGCCAAGAGTTGAGGTCTGAGACTGATATGGCAGACACTTTCACTTTTCAGCTCAATAAGCAGTCCTATTACTTAAGTTTTCTTGGGCGCGCGGCGCGCATGTACCAGGAGAGGCGTAACATAACTAAATATTGTATAGTAGATTTTCATTTCGGTTAAGCTTTATATTTAATTATCGATTTGTAGTACTACAGAGAGAATTCGTAAGAATTGCTACCTCATTCGTGAGATCGTGAAATTTTGACCAAAATCGTGTAATCTTACGAATAATCGTGAGATCTGGCAACACTGAGTGCTACTCAATCCCACATATTCTGTCCTTTAGAAAATAAGTTGTGTCTTGTGTCTGGCGGCTCTGGGCTCTTGGACTATTAGTTCTGCTTGGGAAGTTGACGTAAGGTCTGTTGAAGCAGTGTTCCCTTAACATGTGATCCGTTTTCATATTGAAAATATTGTCACAACTGCCCGCTTTACGGGGGTTTGTAGCTTTGGGTGTTGATGGAGAGAAACACGCTCAAGTTATATAAAAGTGTAGATATATATTTTCCAAATATGCCCTTACATATACGCTAGTCCTATAAGATGCATGACCCTTCGAACACTGGGAGCCACACGTCAACGCTGCTTGGAGGACTAGTTATCGTCACCCTTATGGCCTTGTCCAGAGGGGCTTTCCCAACGAGAGGTAATTGCACTGGACAGCGATAAGGTTGAAGATACCCAGAGGGGCTTTCCCAACGAGAGGTACTTGCACTGGTGAGACTTAATTCCAGAGGGGCTTTCCCAACGAGAGGTACTTGCACTGGTTTAAGACAAGTCTCCCCTTGCTGCGGCTTGCAGCGCAATTTATATCCTTATATCGATCGAATCGGCAATTAAATTAATAAGGTTGAATACCGGGTCCTCCTTTCCTAAGCAGCTAGTTGACAATATCTGTCCCCATAAGTTCTGAGATTGCCGTGTGTCTCGTCTTTTTGTTGTAGGCGGTTGTCGGTTGCAGTCTTTGCCTGTGCAGAACTGGGAGGTCTAGCAGGGCCCTGTTGGTGTGGACCACATTGCTACTGTTATTCTTGAGCAGGTTAGTCTTCCAACTTTGCTAAGTTGGCGCATGGCACCTATTTCCTGTTGCGTCTGTGGCCACTACAAGATGGAGGTGCAAGGATGATACACACTACTACAAGCCTATGCTCATAGGGGATTTTTTTGTTGATGTTTTCCAGATGCTGATTCTACGTAAGTTTTAGGTCCAGTGTTACCTCCAGGTACTTGACCTCGCTCGAACTCTGCATGTTTTCCCTCTTTGGTCTAAGTGGTCCCAGGTCTTTCGCGCCTTCGGGTAAATGTCCTGAATGGCGGATTTGTTCGGACTCATATTCAACCCTCCCGGGTGACAGACCTATCTGTGACAGGCGTCCTATGGCTGTCTCAGTTTAGTTGATTCCCTGGGAAAGGGTACGTTGCACCTGGCGGGGCTGGGATATGGCTTTCCTTTAGGATGGGGTTGGTGGATAATTCAGCTTTCGTGAAGTGATTTGTGCTGAGGTCGCCTAGATGTTCTTTCAGAAGTTGGAGCTGTGTATCTCTACGGATTGTGGTGTTTCCAATAAATGGAACGTTTAATAGATATTTCAGGATCCTATTTTCTAAGCTTAGAAGTTGTTTTATCAGTGGCGGTCTTGGATAGTTGTAGCCCAGGGTGGGGCTCCATAAGTTTGATAGTTGTTTAATTTAGT